GGAGAAGAGTATGGTAAGGGCTTGAGCAGACCTATGGTGAAAACAGTTCTGAGAAATAATATTGATTCTACTACATGTGTTTAATTTACAGGTTGCACTGATCATGAACCTGTTACACAGACTGCAAAGGAAACACTTTAAAGGACAGCAGATGAAATAGAAGTTTTATTAAATGATTGTGTTTCCATGGAATTGACACTCTAGCTTTACTTGGCTCAAGACGGATGATCGTTAGCATGATCATATTAATTGCAAAGAGACCAGAAATAGTCAGTAATGACGAAACTGGTATGAAGGAAAATCTCTCTCTTTTTCTTGATCTGGTAATTGGAGAGTTTGTATATCTGAAACAATGAGTTTCAAAAGATTGTAACAACATCAGATTGAAACTACCAATTCCACTAAAGCCTAGTCTCTTAAAATGTTGTCCAGGTTTTTTTAACATTTTATGACTGAATATAACTATCAGATATTCTTTTCCAAAGAAGGAGGAAAAGGCTTTTGAGGGTCCTATTAATAGAAAGATGATAATTTCACCTGGGAGAAAAGATGTAACGTGAGGATATTGGTTGTTGTTATAGGCAACTGTTATTCATTCCCAGTAATTTCAGATAAAGAAGATTCTTTGATGTAGAACTTGTTCCAGGGGAGCTGATCAGCTGACGCTTTCTGGGTTTTCTAGCCCTGGTGGGAGACACAGCCTTTGTAGTGTCATTTGCTTAGATGTAGTATGCAGGACTATAACATCTCCTTGCCCTTGCAGAAGTCTGGCCGCACCTCTCCCACCGTCACCAACCATGAACTGTTCCTTCCCACTGCCAGCTCCTCTCCTTTGCTCTTCTGAATCCCGTGTCAGGGAATTTAATCTCTTCTCTGCTTCTGCAGTTCTCTGGGGTGAATTTCAGCACTTACTGACAAGTTAATGTCTCTAAGCAGATGTTAATACCAAATTAATAGTTTCAACTAGAATAGCATTTTTATTCTTGACTACCATAGCTCTGCCCATTTTTCTTTTGTCTCTGATGTCCATTTGGGAATGTTGCAGAGCTTTCACAGAGGTTCATGTTATTAAAGTACCCTCCTTGCACTGTGTTGATTTTCACTGCACATAGCAAATTGAAGCAAGAGGAGTGCCTGAAATTAGGATAACTTTCCAGCTGCTTGCAATATATTTTGTTATGTATAGTTCATAAGGGCTATTTAACACAGATTTCTCATTAGCATAATATTTTTGCATGTTAAATGTTTTATATGACATTTTTTTGCAGCTACTATGGGCAATAAATAAAATGGCTTTCTCATAAGAAAGTATTTTCTTGGTAAATGTACTTATGAAAGTGTTTTAACTCCTTACTACTACTCAGAACCGTCATGTGCTATCCTAACTTTGTCTTTGATTGTGTGTGTTCATCTGCGAACATCAAAGAGCCCACACTGCTATTCTTCCTCAACCAGCTGTTGGCTTTATTATGCCAAATTTTGGGTTCCATAGCATAGACTGAAGTCACTCTTTTGATTATAAATGGATTAAAATTTGCTTCATCACCTCACTGACTCTTCAAAGGGATTTTACATATAGAGAAAAATCCCCATACTTTTCCCAGAAGTAGTTTCTAGAAACTACCTTGACACAAGGCAAAAGAGCTCTGTGCCAACCGTTCAGACTTGTTTAGCCAATGAACAGAAGTATGGTCCAGGCTGGACAGTGAAGAAAGCAGCATTCAAGGTGATGACCTGCACAGCCCACATTCTCAGAGGTGTGAGCACACTTGGGTAGCAACTGAAATAAGGAGCTGGTCTAGAAAATGCTAGAGTAGGAAAGCTTTTACCCGATCTCAGATGGACAAGGTAGAATATGGTGTGGTAGGTTAGACCCATAGACGCAAGACTGTTTAGTAAGTTCTGGTGGAAGAAAAGTGAGAGATGATTTACCACCACATAAAGTAAATTGATGGTGCATTGAGGTATATCAGTAGGAGTACTGAGTCACAGCTGATCATCTGGAAGAATGGAAATTTTCAGTACTAGAGCAACCCAGCAGTTGCTGTCTATATTCTGGGAGCAAGGGGAAAGTGACAAATAATGCTTTTTGGAGCATATTATAAAAGAAGTGGGTTTTATCTTCTGGGTGTTTCCATCCTATAAGTTTTCCTGTCAGATTTGGGAGAACAATATTTCACTTGGCTTTCAGTTTGTCTCTGAATCATTGTAACAATAGAATTTATTCTTCCAAACATGAATTGCTGAAGGAAAAAACACAGAGCTGTTTGGAAGGTGGGTGGGAAAGGTGGGGGGGCAGGGGAAGGAAGGAGAGTCTGAGTCTGTTCATGACTGATCTAATTTTCTGCATCTCACAAACTCAAGGCAAATATGATAGCATTTGATTAATATTCATTGTGAAGTGACCAAATGCTTGTTTTCTTGGTTTGAAAATCATAATAGAGTGTTTCTCCTGCAATAGGCTAGATTTAAGGGCAGCTTTGTATAAGACCTGAAGGGAGTGCTGACTTTTTTTGCAAAGGGAACAGCCAATGCAGTGGACATGCTTCAGTGAAAAAGACAAGAACTTTCTGCTAGAATTTAATACATTTGTAACAGTTAAAGGAAAGACACCTGCAGACAAAATGATAAGTTGATGGAGGACTTGTTGGAAAATGATTTAATTCTTCTATACTGGAGGCATGTCAGTGTTGTCTCTATTGCTGATGGATTGTTTGAAGAGACACAGTTGGACAAGCCAGTCCTCGAAGTCACTGGCAGACCTTACTGTAGGTAACCATGGAATTTAGGAGTGGTATTTACTGGTCAGGAACTCTTGATATCTGCTGGTTACATTTAATCAAACTTTAGCTAAGGAGGAAAGACTGGAAAACCTATCATAATTTTACATATGTCTTATGTATTATAAGCTCAAAGAGGATAAACATTCAATCTAGAGACAAAATATTCTTAATTACCTATTAGATGTAAAAGCTTGTGCTATATGTTTAACAATTGCCTTTGTAAGCAGAGTTATAGCACCCAAATTTTCATAATGCTCACATTGTCTTCGGAATCACTGCACCAGTGTGTCACTAGGTTGTCAGGTTTTGGAGTGAAAGACCAGAACTGTTTTCTTGGTTCGAGTCAAAATGGTTTGTCTAAATGCCTGTATCAATTTTTATCCTCATCTCTCCAGGTTTATTTCTATTTTGAAAGCTTTGATTGATTTTGATCTTTTTACATGATGAATAGCCTGCAGATGTGCTTATATATAATTAATGTTTATTAATTTTGTGAAATTAAATTGTTTAAACTTCTTTCAGATAAGTACCTATCCATGTTGCTACTGAAATATGTGTTATACTTGCTACTTTTACTACATACAGACTTCTGGTTTACTAGTCATTAAATATTCAGATAGTCTGGTGTCTCGCTTATGAGACATAAGAAAAGGAACTGAAAATAGCCTTAATTCTGCAGACAACTAAGCAAAGGCAAGTGATTTTATTTTTGTAGCTTATTTCTTAATGTCACTAGACTACAGCGTGATACCAGAGCTTGTAAGACGGCTGCACGGACTTCTGGCTTGCCTTGTAAAGGTTGGGTCCCAAAATGCAGAATTAGAATAAAACGTTCGGGAAGGGTAAAGATTGCCTCAGCCAGAGTGGAATCTACTGCTGTGAAAAGAATGAATGTAGCAGACTTTTAATATACAAAGTTGGAAATGGTATCTGTGAGTGTGACACTGTATCAATGCACTGGACTCGTCCCAACCCTCCTCTGGCTTACCTGGACTACTGGATCGCACTAGCATATTCTCTTAATGCCAATGTCAGGGTGAAACCCATTTGAACAAAACTGATACAAACCCAATAATTTAAACACATCGTTTGTTTCCAAAACGCAAACACATCAGGGCAAAAGCCTGAGGAGGAGAGAATGGGATGGGCCATTCATCCATTAGCGCAGGAGCTAGAATGGCGTGTACGCAACACCAAGTTTGGCTGCCGTTTCAGTTACAAGGCAGGCATTCCCTGACACTTTTCTGTCTTCACTTGCTGCTTTTGCAAAATTTGTAAGCGTTGCAAAACCAATTTTTAAGAGCCGACCACCATCCAGCCAGGTCACCCCCCGCCACCCACCCGCTGCCAGAGCCACCAAGAACCGGGCTTCCAGCATGTTCCTCAACGTGGACGTTGTCTGTAACGGGCCGAGACTACGCGCCGGTCCCCGCGTGGGAGCAAGGCGGCACCCGGAGCTCCTGCAGCGCCTCGCCGACACCTGCCTCCCGGGTGGGGGGGGCGGGTGGGCGGACATCTCCGGCGCTCGGGGGCTACAGGCACGGGTGGGAGCCGGCGCCGGTTTCGCCTCACAGCCCACGCCGGCCGCCCCCGAGGCGGGGCGGGCGCCCGCCGCCTCCCTTCCCCCCGCGGCTCAGTGCCGAGCCCGCGCCCGCCGCCGATTTCGGCGGGAGCCGCAGAGCCCCGCGGCTACCGGAGGCCGCGCCACGCCACGCCGCGCCACTCCACCCCGCTGCGGTGAGGCGGAGGGGGGGAGGAGGGGGGGAACGGGGACGGGGACGTGGAGGCGCGCGTGGGCGGGCGGCTGCGTGGGCCGCGGCGGCGGGGCGCGGACAGGTGGGTTCGCAGGGGGGTGAGGGGCGGGCGGTGCGAGCGAGCGAGCGTGTGCGAGCGCGGCGGCGGGGGCGTGGGCGGGCCGGCCGTGGGCAGGCAGCGGCGCGGATGCCGGGCGGCGCTGCCCCCCGCGCCCGCTGGCGGCGGCGGGAGCCCCGGCCCCGCGATAAAAAGGGAAGGCGGCGGGGGGGGGGGGGGGACCGGAGAGGCGGGAGGGAGGTGCGCTCTGCGGGCCCGCCGTGCGGCGGCACCGCCAGAAACGTGCCCGGGAGGGAGGTGGGGAGGGAGCGGGGGGCTGTGCCGAGCGGCGAGCCGCCTCCCTCCCTCCCTTCCTCCCTCCCGCCCGCCCTCCCGCAGGAATCCCGGGCGGGCGGCGCGGCGGCGCCCGGGACGCGCGGCTCCCCCTGGCCGCGCTGCTGAGGAGGAGCCGCCGCCGCCTCATCCTGCGGCACCGGCCGGCGAGCGCAGGTGGGTGGGCAGCGCCCGCTCCCCGCAGCGCCGGACCCTCGGGTTCAGCGGTGCTTCCCCCCCCCCCCCCCCCAACGCCCTCCGGCACCGTCCCAGCGGGAGGCGCCTCGCCCAGCAGCTCCGTGTGTGTGTGTGGGGGGGGCGCCGCGGTGAGGGGCTTCGTGGGGCTGAGGGGTGGGTGGGGGGGCGAGGGGCTCGGCGGGGGGCGCGGGGGTGTGGGGTGCCGCGGCGGCTGTGGGGGGCGACGGCGGGTGCCCGTGGATGCCGCGGGTGGGGCGGCGCCCGGCGCGCACCTGAGCGGCCGCAGCCCGGCTGGGAGGGTGGCGGGGTGCCCGGGTGGGGGGGTCCCCGCGGCCGTGGGTGCCTTCCCGTCCCGGAGTGCCCGGCCGTGGCGGGGCGAGAGGCTTACCGGGGCGCGGGCTGCCTCACTGGCGCTTGGGGGTTTACTTATTTATTTATACGTATATATATATATATATATATATATATATATTTTTTTTTTTTTTTAAAGAACAACTTGTTCTTGGAAAATCGCGCGCAATTTCGGTTTCTGTTCCAGTTTGAGATTTCTGGTGGAGGCTGTGGTTACTGTTGGCGTAGGGTAGCGCAGGGGGGTGCAGGTACCCGGGTGGCCGTGGGCATCCGTGCCGCTGCCCGCGGCGTGCTGGCGGGAGTTAGTTGCTGCCCGTTCACGACTCGAGAGCGTTTTTGCAGGTAGAGGCGTAGTGGGAGCGTTCGGGCGGCTGCTCCCGGGGGTGGTGTGAGCGATTCTGAACTGGGAGACGGGCGAGTGCGTCTGCACGCAAAAGGCAGTGTCCCCCCGGAGCTTGGGCTCCGAAACTTCGCTATTCGGTGAAACTCCTGTTCTGAACGCCAGAAAGCTTTGCTTTTTCCAGGAAGGCTTGAATCGTCTATCTTATCATCTTTTCAGGAAGGGATTAACGCGAGGGCTCTGGGTACTGGGTGTTTAGGTTTTACTTTGATGTAAATGGTTCCTTCGGCAGAATCTGTGGCATATTGCTCAAAGTGCAGTAAGCCTGGAATAAATTGAGTGGTTTTCATTTCATAAAAAAGTTGAAGATCGCTCTTAGTTCGATGAGATGTTCTTCCAAATATTAGCCTTTATTTTTTGTATGTGTTTCTTTACAACCTATGTAAGGGAACGAAGCTGAGCATGGAAATTATCTCTCTGTAAGACTGTGTTCATTTTTCGGATGGAAAACCAAATCAGATTAGCTTCTGTACTCAATTACTTGGTAAATACAAATGTTTTGTGTTCCCACTTCAGAAGTCACCTTGCTCTGTCAGGGTTGTGATGTGTCCACTCAGCAACAAGGATAACATAAAAATCTGTAAATCCCATATCTGTCTGCAAGAGTTTTAAATGTTCTCTTGGGTTAAATTGAGTTGGGATTGGGTTTTTTCTTCCTTCCTGAAATTTATTAGAGATTAATTGCAAGTAACTCAGTTTAAGTATCTTAACACACCTTTTCCAAAGGAGAATGCTTTAGAATGGTTGTATAGGAAAACAAGTGAGCTGAAACATTGTGGTAATAGAATTTGCAGCATAAAATATGGCTAATTTCTCTTGTGTGACTACAGGTGGCAGTGTAGAAGCCAAGAACAAAAATTGGCAGAAATTATATTCTGTGTACGAGAAAATGAAGAGTGTACTCATGACTAAGCACAGGAACCTGGAAAACCACAGGTATGTGAAGTGATTCATACGACTGCCTATGGTGCTCCCAGTATTTACTGTATTCTGATGTTCCTGGCTCAATAGGTATTTTTGGACCAATTATCACTTAATGTATTCACAGTAAGAGTCTAATCAAAATGTCATGGAAAAATCTATATTTGATTACTGAAAGGAGCAAAAATACTTTGAAGGCAGTAGGCAAGGAGAGGTGGGATTTTCTGACTTTTTTTTATGGCTACCTATAAAGAATCAGAGCACTGAGTTCCATGAAGATTTTTTTTTTTTCCCTTTAAAGAAATAGATTCCATATTGATAAACCTAGCAGTAATATACTTGAAATTGAAAAACTTTAGATACAGTAGAAAGATTTGCATGTCTGGATGTTTTAGATGTCTTACCAGTACTATTTTTATGAGCACTGAAGAATTGCAAGCATGCAGAGAAATCTGGAGATGCAGTTAAGAAGACGACATTTCAAATAACTGTCCAGTGGTGATGCATATGTGTTGTTACAGGTTAGATATTGTAAGATTTAAAAAAAAAAAAGTAATAATTTTACAACATTATTTTCTATTAAAAGTGAAAATAAGCAGTACATAAGAGCTCATGATTAGCTCTCATATTTCAAAGCAAAGGGAAATACTAGATTCCCTTAGTAATTATTTTTTCTCATTAATTAGCAATGTTAGTGAGGCAAAGCTTTTCTTGCGTGTTTACATCATTGCACAAAGTCTGTAGAAATTAGTCCGTAGGACTGCATTCCAGGTTTGCTGGGAAGCCATGGAGGATGGGACGAACGCAGAGCTGGAGCTTGAGGATTTTTTAGAACTCATGAGTGGGAGGTTATCCTGGTAAGAAGTGTCAAAGTGGAATTATCACTGTGTTTATGAATATGTTGATACTTTTGCATTTGTCTGGTTTTATCTTAGTCTAAGGAGGCATTTTGTCTAAACCTTTAAATTGTTTCCAAGAGAATGTGGTTATACCACAAAAGTTCACAACCAACCAAGTCACCTTGTGTCAGCTACCCTGCAGTGAGTGGCCTTGGGCACAGTTTTAGTTATCCCCAGTTGCAAAATAAGTTGCATACAGAATGATGTATTTCACTGTTACAATGGGCTAACAGAGTACATCCCATCAGGTATAACCAACCAGCTGTCACCAATAAACTGTTAAACTATAGCAGCTTGGAATCTTGAAATTCTGGAATCCAAATAAACAAGATTTTTTTTTGTCTATCTATCATTTAAAAAAACATCCAGGAAACCTTACGTCAGGTATAGCCTTGTGGGCACGCAAGCCCTGAAGCTGTAAGCTCTCTGTACAGAGGCTGCATCTCTGTTGGTGAAGAGTCAGACCTTGATCTCTGAGTGGGGTTTGTGGGTGCCATCATAGTTCTTTCAAAATACAGTGTGCCTTGGATTGAGTACCCTGAAGAGCTATCACAGAAGTTAACTTCAATTAAAATAAAAACAAAACAAAATAAAACAAACAACAACAACAAAACAAAAGAATAAATCTAGATCTTCAGGGCTGTTCTGCAGGGGAGAGCTTTTCTAACCATCTTTGCCTGGCCATCGTGTTATTATTGCTTGTCACCTGTTACTTATGAGTGGAGACCCACTCAGATGTAGCTGGGAATAAAAAAGCATCATCACTAATTTCTGTACAGTCCTGTAGGTCTTTTATTAGTATTATTATCTCTTATTAAGAAAAACAGTTAAGTATACTTTAAAAACTTATATTAATAGCCCTGGTAAAGTGAATTGAACTGTATGTACAGGTCAGCATGTGCTTATGGTTTTGTTGAACATTGTTGAGTTCATTAGTTTGTGCTAACATATTTAGAACAGAAAATAAAAATGTCATTTGTCATTGGTACAAAATTTTAATGGGGTCTTCCATTACATCAAGTGCTCAAAATATTAAATAAAAGAAAACTTGTAACTAAGCAGTGTGATGCTCAAGAGTTCAATTTACAGACACTTCTCTGTGCTAATTATGAAGTATTGACATAAATGAATGAAACTACTTGTTAAAGCGCCTTTTGCAGTGTATAGCAGTTCACAAGATGATTCATAACATTCAGCAATTTGTGATGAGTTTCCCTGCCATTGCTGGAGATTACTAAGTATCTAATGTATTTGCACTACATTGGGTTACTTTAAATTAGATTTGATGGTGGAAAGGGAAGGAGAACCGTTTTTCATCAACTGAAAAATCAGGCCTGTTTTATGAATCAGTCAGTACTGAATTTCTCTTTACTGTGTAGTACAATTTATCCTTTACAATAAAATACAAATGTTTAATTGTCCTGCCTATAAATACAGCAGTTACAGTGTGTGTGTGGGAAATACTCAAGATTTCTTTTGTGTTGAAAGTTGTGTACATTATAACTAATAACATACAGCAGACTTGCTATAACTGAAAGTAGAATTCATAGTAAGAAATCTGTATGTTTAAGGTCCCATTTTGAATCATCAAGTCTTGGTTTTATAGAACATTCTTTGATTTGATGCAGAATGTATTTGTAAGCACAGCTCCCATTAACAGTGCCATAGATGCTGCATCTTAGAAAACTGTCTCGTGCTTCTGTTTTGAACTGAAAGTTGTGGCTGGTTACGTCTTCTGTTGTCTTAAGAAAACTGTTTAAGGATTTATGCAATCAGCCATTTCACACTACCATAAAGATGGTTGTAATCTGTTAGATTATGAAGCATGATTGACTGGCAGTTATTGGAAATGTCTGTTAATGATACCAGGGTTTTACACAAGAAAAATTAAAATTCCTCACTCCTTAGCACTTACAGAGGATTGTCTTGAATATGGTTTGTGGGTAAGTGTACTAGGGTCATGGATTAATGATGCTGAATGGAAGACAGAGAAACTAATTTTTTAAAAAATATTTATTTATTTTGTGAAACCTTAACAGACACAATCCAGTACAGTATCAAAGGCAGATTTTTAGAAAACCAATAGATTGTCTGTCAGGAGAATAAGGACGATCTGAATCCAAGCCCCTGGAATGGGAGGCACAAAGTGAAAACTTCAGATGGAGTACACTGAGAGTAAGCCTAACCACAAGCAGTGCCTCTGAACCCATTTAGCTTACTTTGGCTTCTCAGACTGGAGGTTGATACCAGATCTCCACTTAGAGTAGCATATTCTTAATCTCAACAGTATTAATACAGCTGTTAAAACGAAGAGATAGTTACAACATTGCAAGATGCCTATTGTAGATTACTATAATTGAAGTGGACTCTTGTGAAAGTCACAACATACTAAGCATATGTGTAAGGAAATTATCCTTAATTAGCAAATATGTAAAGTAAACCTCCAGGCAGCTGGTCCCACTGCTATCTTTGGGCAGGCTGCCACTGGGCTCCTGTAAGAAGTCCTAATGTAGGAGGACGGTCAAACCTGTAAAGGAGAAATGATTCTGAAATTACATCCAAGGTCTCAACTAAGTGGAGTGCAACTAACTGGCTTTATGGTGCGGGAAGGAAGCATGTAGTAACCTTCTAACTATGTGCCAAGGTGGCTCACAAGGGGAATCTAGATGAACTTTTAGTGATGGAGAAGCTGGTGGAGAAGTGCTGGTGATATGTAGGGGCTACCAAAATAGTGCTGGAAACAACATCTGAGTTGCTAGATAGGAGGTTAATAATAAAGTCCTCTGCAGCATCAGTCTGCCCTGTAATCCCAGTATTCTGCATGAGGACAAGCAGAAAGGGCACACAGCCTCTGGGGTTGAAGTCCTTAACACTGCTGCACATAGGACAGAAGTTGATAAAGGTCATGTAGAAAATCATGAAGAACTGCCTGACTAAATTAGGTCCAATTTAGACAGGAACACAGAAGAATAGGCAGGCAGAGCAAAATAGAAGTGTTTCTATGCAAATGCTAGAAGACTAGAAGATAAGATGGAGGGACTAAATGCCTTACTAAAAGTAAGTTATTGACAGTATAGGTCTACCATAGAGAAGGTAGCTAGCAGCAGCCTCATTAGGGTTTCTGTGGAAAGCCTGGTAAGAGGAACAATCAAAAGAGTAAAGTGTTTACAGCCACTGTGGAGAGACTCAGAACAAATGCACACCCGCTAACAACTGCTTCTCTGGCCCTTTAAAAAGGTTAAAAAAAAAAAAAAAAAACCAAACAAACAAAAAACAAAACAAAAAGAAAACAAACCAAAAAACAAGACAGTTAAAATGGTTGAGCAGGCTGTAAGGAACAGAAAGATATCCTTCAAAACCTTATGTGTTCTACCCCTGCAAGGTGAAAATCAGTCAAATGAAACATAAAATACATAGTAAAACAAGTTAAAGCCTGATATGTGATTTGTAAAAGGCGGAGAAGCTTGTCATGAGTACTCTTTCAAAAACACCAGAAACAGGAAGGCCATAGGGCCAATAGATAGCTAAGATCTAAATGAGCTCAAAGAAGATTACACTGTAACTGAAAGAGTATGAGATACTCCTGTTCACTGTGCAGGAGCTCAGATTCCCAAACAAAAACCCCTTCTCTGTGGGGAGAGAAGCACAAGGTACTAGTGAGGCACCAGTTCCAAACTGAAGCGATGCTGGGACAGATTTTTTAGATCAAAATCATAAAAATGAGTTACAGCACATTGCCAACTCTGGATGCACCCAAGACCTCTAGAAGATCTCTCAGTATAAAATTGCTGAACTCGTAATGATGGTGTTTAATTGCACAGTATTGCTGTGGTAGCAGTGAAGTTGAAGGTGCCAAAGGTGATGCCAGTTTTTAAAAAGGCTTCCTGAAAGCCTGTAGGAAAGAACAGGACAAGTATGACTGGCATTCATACCAGTCAATTTGATGGTAGATATAGTGCAGAGGAAAACTAAGGGATTCACAGACAAATTTGATATACCAGGAAAGGGTTGGAACAGCCTTACAGGTCTAGTAGAGTTCTTTGAAGACACTATTGATGTTGTAAGTAAGTATGATCTAGCTGATGCAGTATTCTTGGGTTTCAGAAAGTCTTTGGA